TCTGATCTGCGTGTATGTGGGACATTTCATTGTACACAGCTGTATTAATGCACACTTGCTTATATGTGCGACCTTTTGGATGGGTGTTTGTGAGCAGGTGTGTATGAGCACCCCTGAAATAGACGCCCTCCTGTGCGCATGCCATGGTGTTAAATATCAGTCTGCTTGGCACACTTAGAGTTAATGCTTGAAATTTGAGGCACGTACAGTACAGAGAGAGCTGCAAAAGGAAAGAAGGAGGCTGTAGTCTGGCAGCTGCTCTGGCTGTTCTGTATACTTTGGTGTCATTTTGTGTGTGAGGATGCATATGAATGCGTACATGTGTTTAAAAGTGAGTCTGTCCTCGCGTGTGGATGTGTGGGAGTGCACTCTGCCTGCTTGATTGTGCCCGTATGAATCAGTGCATTTGTACTGTGGGAAAGAGAAATATTGGCGACAGCAGTAAATAACATAATCCAGCTATTAGGTTTTGTTCCCTTAGACATGGACTTACACTGTACACACCCTCACAAGGACATGACTCATGGGAAATTACATGAATTTTCACTCAGCTTTCCTCATATTTACTGCTGATGCACAAGCAATCATAAGCTGTGTTCCCCTCCACAGCTACAAATGTGTTGCCGAGTGAAAGACGTGTAATCCAATTTCCTTTGTGTATTATTGTTATTATTGGTACATATCAAAATGCATCAAAAACATATTATAAATCAACACACTGTTTCATACTCACGAACAGCTACATTTCCATATGAACTTTGATGCAAGACAGCATCCAGAGAGGACTGAGTGAGATGCATGAAACAGATATATCTGCGGCATCATTAGCATTAGAAATAATTTACACTATTTTTTTTTCACATTTCAGCACTTTATGTCAATTAACCTACGCTCTATGGTGAATGACTTGAAAGCAGATGGGTTATTCATTTATTTTCCACCTAGCAGATTCTCTTGGTCCCCACACAAAGGCCCCCTTCTGATGACAGAAACAGGCTTTGAATTGTTTGATTCCTTTGACTTGTTAACTTTTGCTATACCTCTTCCATGAGATGGTGATTACCACCCAGAAGCCACGTTTAACCAAAGAAAGACATGATTCTTTTGCCTTAGCACAAAAAAGTCTCTCACAAAAACTGGAACACAGAGGTAAATCTCTTAAGCAGCCTTCCTTCACATAATCATGAGATTATTCCATGATAGAGGAGGGGATAGGGGAGGAGATGAGTGAGATCTTATATTTCTTTAATGTTTTATGTGGCAAATTAGCTGAAACAAATGCTAAATGCATGTTCCCGCACCCATTTTTTACTTGCTTCGCAAGATAAACAGCACCTGATAGTGTGTATGAAACATTACCCTGATGAACAGCCATGCGGTGCCTACTAAAAGTGAAGCCATTAAGCATAATATGAAAGACACACATGCTGTCGGTTTTCATTTGTCACCGCAGCATGACTACTGAGTCTTGGAAAAGTCTCATCTGGGCTGTGTGTGTCTGCGTGCGAGTGTTGTGTGTATGTTCCTGAGGGCTTGCATGTATGCATATGCTCTGACAACACTTGACAAGCTGTGCTCCTCTCCTGGATTCCCACCTCATTGTCTATCATCAATCCCAGACCTATAACCCCAGTAGTAATAACACAACTACTGACATACATTCAAGTACAACAGTGTGTGGGCGTCGAATCACACAACAAGGTTATGAATAAGTCTGTCCCGGCTATTGGCAGTGCTTTAGAGAATATCAATCCATGCGCTCACACGCTCTGACAGCTAATTGAAGGTTCCCCTTGGGCTGAGTGCAGCAGAGATGTAATAATCAAGGACCCTGTCCTGGTTTTGCAATATAGCCCAAACGTGGGATTTGCTTTTGTCACAGTCAGAGGCATATTATACATGGAAGGTATTCAGTTTTGTCACACACATGTTGCCTCGGTGGAAAACAGAAATATTTAGTCCATATTATCAATCAGAAAAGGTATGTGAAAGGCTGCTGCAGCACTGACAACAGATCAATACCAATCCCTCACAGTCTCTACTTATAAACTTATCCATTTAGACATCTCTATGACAAAGTGACTGCCCAGGAGGAGTGTCCATTTTAATACCTGTGGGTTAATTCCTCCCAGCTTTTACTGGATTAAATTAAACCACGCTATGGTATAAACATGAAAAGCTCACTGTGTTGCTGGCAGGATTACAGGCTGATGCCTTATGTATACAGGAACAGCAGTGGTCAGAGAAGCTGCACTGTTTATGCACAAATCTCTCAGGAAGTATAGTCTTCATTCACATTTTCACACAGGAAAGAGGATTAGTTTGCACCATAAACATGGAATGAACCCTCCCAACAGGATTCTTTTAGCCTTTTTACTTATGTCCTTTCATAATGTCTCCATTAATGAAGTTCTTTCATGTAGAGCAATTTCTATGGCAATACTAGCACGGCTTTTCTGTCTTGTGCAGTGTAGACACTGGCTCGGCAAATCCAGCCCACACCCCCTTCCCCAAAGCCAAAGCCATCCAGTTTGCTATGGGGCAATCCTGAGGACAGCCAAACCCATTAGTTCTGGCCTTGTATTAACGGAGTCTAACATTTATTACCCCCACAGTTTCACCGCAGATAGCAGGTGGCAGCAACAACAAAAAAAAGAAAAATTTCAGAGATTTAATTGTACACGTTGTAACCAAAGCATGAATGAGCCATGACGGCAGCCTTTCTGAGTGAGCGGTGTAGACAAGGTGCAGTTGTTAGCTGACATGCTCAAGGAATGTACTTGGATTACAGCAGATGCCTCTTTGATTTATAGACTGTAGATGCGAGCCTTTTAGCTAAACCATGTTGCCGAACAGAGATTCGTTTTATTTCTGCCTAGATTGTGAACTCCCCACCTACGGAGACTAGGATTTTATCAGTGTGACACTTTGGAAATGAGAAACCTATAAAGGGCCCCACAGTTTCTTGGGAATCCTCTGGAAGTTTGCCATGCAACCCTGACCCAAATGTTTAAAAAGAAACAAGCATTTCCTTTAGGTAGAGCTGTAACATGACATGCTGTAGTGTGTAAATTTGCATTGCAGTGTCTTTAGTGACTATTGCTTTCAGCTTTGTGAGTCCTCTCAGTGAATCATGACAAAAAGGTTATAGTAATAAAAGGGTATTGGTGCAGAATAGAAAGTAACATTTCTCCCAGCCAGCTAAATGCTAGTGCTGAAAGGACACTAAGCACAGGTTGTCTCTCAACTGCGGTGACAGGCCGTTCAGCTGAGAATTTCACTGTGTTGAGTAAAAGGACACAGAGAGGGGAGGAGGGACGAGGCTGAGGTGCAGCCAGCCAGCCAAATCTGCCTTCAGCTAAGTGTCAAAACAGCCATTCAGCTGTGTACACCTTCATGTCACCTGCTTGTGTGTGTAGTTCTGTAGCCCCCACCAGGTGGGAGCACACAGTCTTCTCCTCTGGTCAACAAAGCCTAATACGCCACAGGTAGCAGCCAGCCACAAAGGTGATATCCCTTCAGCTCAACTGTCCCGAAGCCAATCAGGCACACCTTGCGGCCTGTAGGGTGATAGTAGCATTGGTGTGTGTTTTTTGCGGGGTACAAGGTTAGCCAGAGCTATTATCCAATGGAGGCAATAGATATGGAGGTGTTGCCATCCGGGGTCTGGCGGCTTCTCCTCCAAGGCCTCCACAAGACAGAAACTACCTACTGTGTGTGTGCATCTGTTTTCCACCATCCCCCTCTCTCTGCTGCTCATCCCGCCTCTGACTCACTGTCGCATCGTGTCTTTGATGTTTTCACAGGCAGTTGTACTACTGAGAGCGGCTGCGCTCGGCTCGAGCAATGCAACAGCCCCACTTCACAGCCTCTGCAGGCTCTATAAGCAGCGTGATGGAGGAAATCAAAGCACTCAAATGCAGCTAGATTCAGTATGCACGCTGCATTCCAATAAGAGCTGCTTTGATTAATAGAACTTTTTATATAAATGTTATTTTTAGATTCATGCAAAAAACCATTTTTCGAGGTGTTTGGGGGTGATGCTTTCTTTTTGCACTTGGTGCTGTGGAGCAGATTTATATCACATAGTTAGTGTTTATCAACATTTCATCTGTGGAACTCCCTTATGTTCGACTTTTATGAAATGTAATTACAGTGCTACTCACACTTCTCTTGTGTATCACATGAAAAATGTCTTCATAGCTTTTCCTTAGTGGGTCATGCTAAATGTAAGAAGTGCACTATTTTCTCCTTTCCCAGGACTGAAACATATTGTTTTTGCCTGGGGCACTGCGTGAGTTACTGCACACCTGCTTTATCAGAGTATGAGTTGTTGGAAGAAACAACTGTAAAATGAATGTTCAGGCACCACGGACATGCATACTGGTTCCGTGTTGCTCTAGTGAAATTTAATCAGCCATGCCACAAAATCTCCCAGGCAAGAATGATTGTCAGACAAGAGGATGTTGCTGTAATTATTGTCTTGTTCGCTGCAGACTGAGCACATTGGATAAGCCGTAGTCAACGGGAAGGCAAATATGCTAGTTGCACAAAGCACTTAGCAGCAATTTACACAACAGGATACTTGGATGTATAAGCATTACAGTGTTGAACATGTTGAGAAAAAATAAAGTTACTCACAGGGGGTATTGTTAAGGTTTAGTGGTACATGAGGGCATCTGCCCACCGGAAGGTCAAGATTTGAATACCTGCCAAATTCTTATAAAATAATTGATATAATCCACATTATGCGTCCCTGTGGTGCCATACTAATGAGCAGACCTTCCGCTGCAACTGCAGGTCAAACTAATATTTGGTTTTTATTTTTATCCATAGCACTGCATCATGTTTTATACACTGATAACTATATGTCCCAGCAAAGGAAAAAAAAAAACAACCTCTCATATAAGCGATGTTGAATGTTTTTCCCCAATGGGCTGCTCACCATCACATACTGTAATAGTGCTCCACCCAAACATGATGCCTCTCTCTCTTCACAGCTCCACCACCACTGTCAGAAGTCACCACGTCCCCTCAGCCTCAGAGAACTACGACTATCACCACAACAACCACAGTGCACCGGGGTGTGGCCAACACTACCACCACAACAGGGCTCAAGGAGGGCAGCAGGGGAATGCCAAAGCCGCCTCCTGTGATTCCACAGACTACTTCCCCTCCAACCCTTGAGTCCTACCCTCTAACTGAGCGCTTCTGTGAGGCCACTGAGAAAAGAGACATAACATGGCCTCAGACTCAGAGGGGCATGCTCGTGGAGAGACCTTGCCCCAGGGGAACACGAGGTAAACAGGGCTCCCTCTCGCCTCAGTGCTGTGTGTTTGCCGCTTTCAGTATGACCTGAAGCATCCCGAGAGAATATCACTGACTCCATTGATCACCGTTATACTCGTGCATACAAGCATTTTTGTATTCATGAAGCGCACCAGTTTTAGCGGGTGCACAGGGAGTTAGTGAAGACGGTGTATAATGGTGTTAGGATTCAGCTGTGTCATTCCAGGTCGAAGCATGATTAAGCAGTCTGTGCTGCAGAGGAGCGGGCTCAGCTGTTTCTCATGGAGCTTGCGTGGAAACGCGCATCCCTCATTTGACAGTGTGTGAAATTGTGTTAGTGTCCAGAGGTCGTCGTGTACAAGCCAATTAGGACAGCAAAACTGTACCGCTTTTTTAGCAAAAAACAGGCACAACTAGCAGCTGAAAATATCTTCAGAGAAATGTTTTTCATTAACAAAAATTATTGACTTGTCCTTTGACAGAATTTGAACAGGTTTTACCAGAATAACAATGTGAAAAGACAAAATACCTGTCAGGGCTTTTAGAGACTTTGTATTTGCATAAAATGTATGAACTTGCATGTTTGTAAATATGTTGTTTGTGTGCAGAGTCTTTTTTGTCTCTGTCCTTGTCCTTTGTTGCCCTGTGAAGGACTTTCATGGGACTTGATTGAACCTGACTGTTCTGTTTTTGTTTTCCCTGTCAGGCACTGCCTCTTATTTATGTGTCCTTTCCACTGGGGCCTGGAACCCGAAGGGCCCTGATCTCAGCAACTGTACCTCCCACTGGGTCAACCAAGTCGCCCAGAAGGTTTGTAGGAGCTCTGCCTCACTGTTTTTCTTCTAAGTGAAATGTGTTTCTTAAAAACATTGGGGTAGACAAAATAATGGAAACACATCCTTGTAAAGGACTTTACCACTGACGTGACATAATCACAGTTACAAAAGTGGCAGAAAATCTGGGTCAGATTAGCTTGAAAGCAGTATTTGTCAGCTGTAAGGGTGGAAATGACTTTGATATGTATGTCTTCAGAAAACAACAAAAAACTGCAAAGGCTGCAAAGACTAGCATCTGTATTGTGCAGGTGCATCAGTCAAAAGAAATGCAAAATTATGACAGACAAACGGCATCAAAAAACTGATGGTGAATAGAGCAGATAACATACGATGCACAAACTAATAGTACTGACAGTATGCATCTAATGAAATTACTCCCGACATGTATTTATTATGACCCAACTTTGTAGTGATGGTTACATTATCATTATGTTCATTCATAATGATAATGACAGTTTTCTCTGTGTAACATGTGCCATAGATTTCTTAGCAGACAGAGCAAACCACATGCTGTGTACTGGTTTTCTAACTTACTGGACAATAAAAAAACATTGCCAACATGGCAGCTTTTCCTATGTGAAGACAACAATAAACCCCCTTTCCATAATTGGCATTTCATGGAATTATTCAAGCGTGATTTGACGTTAGAAACAGAGGTGTGAAGAACTCTCCAAATCTGTCTTCTTGCATTCCTGTGAACATTACTCACTCTCTCCCCCCGCAGATCCGAAGCGGTGAAAATGCAGCTAACTTGGCCAACGAGTTAGCCAAACACACTAAAGGACCCATCTTTGCCGGGGACGTCAGCTCCTCGGTGCGCCTGATGGAGCAGCTGGTGGACATCCTGGATGCTCAGCTGCAGGAGCTCAGACCCAGCGAGAAGGATTCCGCAGGGCGGAGCTTCAACAAGGTAACCGCATTCACTAGGAAAAAAAAATCCTGGAGAAGAATGTGCTACTGTATATTTACTCCCATTCTCATCAGTTTTCTTTTGTTGAATCATTCTACAAAGTTTACGTGGCTCAGGGGCTTTACTGATAAGTTAATACCTTCTTGGTGGACAAATTCAGAATGTTATTTTGTTCCCCAAAATAATGCAGTAATACAGTTTGTAGTTATTGTTGTTTGGCATGTAGGGTTGGTCTCTTACTTTTTTTTAAGTCAAAGCTGTGAGACAAAACAAAGCCAGTACTTAACATTTCCATTTAAATTCTGCATTCATGTCCGTATTGTACATTTGCAGTAATGGCCATAATTTGTCTCTGCTAACCACAATACTTATGGTGTCAGGAGGGTTTCAGAAGAAAATATAGGATATCATAAAGATGAACCAAAGCACTTCTACTCCTCAACCTTCAGGTAAGCAGGTCAGAGGTACATTAGAGAGTGCGCCAGGTGGTGGGGACAGGCTGGGCCGAGCTGAGTTTGTACATCCAGCGCTCAGTGAGGACTTTGTTTCTACAAATCCTTTACTCACGCTCATGAACCTGTGCAAATTATGTCTCTCGATTTTTTTCATCTGTTCTTTTTCCTATTTTTTTTCTTAAAAAAGCTTCAAAAGCGAGAAAGGACATGCAGGGCATATATGAAGGTACTGGAGCAATGCTTCTGCGGGCTCTGCTTGTTGCCGCCCCCTCTTCTGTTCCTGTGCTAGTGTATATGCCCCAGCCAAAGTTCAGCAGCATGTACCCTCTGCACTGTCATGTACTCCCTCCACTCTGTGCTTCCTGCTTTTTTTTTGAGTAATTGCCCTACACACAGACACAAAGTGCTTTCTAAGTCAAAGAGAAGTTTCTAGATGGCTGCTTTTCATGGATGTGTATATGTACCGTTGTCTTTTTCGCCTCTGTGCGTTGACAGCGTTGGTGTATTTTGTGTTTTTTCCATGTATGTTTTCTTAGTGTTCACTCGAGATTGCACGCCTGGATGTATAACACCACAACTCAAAAAAAACGCTGTGTCCCTTACATCCTCCTCATTTATTCATTTGCTGAAGAATTTGCTCCTTTATTATAATTTGTCTTATCAGAGCTCCCTTTTGTATAAAATGAATATTGGATCAAACACAGTTCCGTTGTGATTTATTCACATTGGGTTTTTTTTTTTTTTCAAGGACCATCACCTGACCTTTCATCCCATTAAGTAAAAATTGTGGCTCTTGTTTCACAAGGACACAGGTTTTAGGTCATAGAAGTCATTTGTTTAATAAATTAAAGGTGCAAGTCTTTAGCTCTGTCTGGTTAATAGGGTTAGTCAGGTCAAAAGATTTTTTTTTTCTGTTTCATAGAACGCTCTCGCGTTCGGCTCACATATCAAAGTATTTTGGCCATATATATCACTCTGCCATTAGGGAGATCAGCGTCCTCCACCTGCCACCAAAGTCACCCCCCTTCTCAATCCAGATCTCTCCTCTGGGAGGGTATTAAAATGGATCGAGCTAATTAGCCAGTCGATGGCTGTGTGCAGAAAAGAGGGAAAGGGAAAAAAAAAAACACATGTATGAAGTCACCCTTCTTCCCCCAGAAATGTCACATCATCTTGCTTTTTAATGTCACAGCATGTAGATTTGAAGTCAGGGGCGTTAGGGAGGTTGTGTCGATTTAAATGACAGCATTAATTTGACTAACGACGGCGTTGAGAGGATCTGGGACACAGATCGTTGAGTCAGCGGTATCTGATATATGCCTTACTTGACGCAACATCGCATTAGCCGCACCCACCCTTTTCCACCAGACGTCACTGGCATTGATTACCCGATTAGACGCATTGATTTGATTATTTCCTGAAGAAAACCCAGTGTCGTCTGGATCCCACGCCTAATTTATCCACAAGCTGCTCAGGTGGCGGAAAGAAAGAAATTGTTTGCATGAAGGATGTAGCCCAGTAACAAAAGATTTAACATTATATATTCTATTTGTACACATTTCATTGTCCCTTTTAGTGCTTTTTGCAGGGTGACTTAATGATTGTACAGTAAATTTTGCATATTTGAGTGCAAGTTGACAGCAGCTCCATTAAAGAAAATTAAAGTTTCTACATGCCAAAGACTTGACTGTTTTAATTGAGGACAGCCTTTGGTCCTTTGGCTTTCATCAGGCCATCTCTTAATATCCTGCTATCGGACAGACCTCATAGGCTCAATACACTGTGACCCCAAGTGTCTGCCCTGATGCAGCGTCCTTGAAAAAGAAATTTAATCTGCACCATCTCCAATAATGCTCCTGTTCATCTCTCCCTCTGCAGTTTCTCCTTCATCAATACAGTTTTTGAAATGATCTTATCCAGTAAATGTCTTTTTTTTTTGTTCATCATATACACAATAAAAATAAACATCCTTTTAGCTTGATTATTTCTTTCTCATCACGTTCATTTGAACCCTGACAGATGAGATGCTTCAGCGCAGCATTTCATTGATTTCATTTCAGTGTCTGTGTGTAACAGCTTATTCTCACAAACAAATTCACTTTTTTTTCTGAGTTACTGAAGTATCTTTGTTTTTGTTTGTGTGTCTATTTGTTTGCTTGACGTGCATCTGGACACAGGCCATTGTGGACACGGTGGATAACCTTCTGCGACCAGAGGCGTTGAAGTCTTGGCAAGACATGAACAGCACAGAGCAAACGCACGCGGCCACCATGTTACTAGATACTTTGGAGGAAGGGGCCTTTGTCCTCGCTGACAACCTCATGGAACCAGCCTTCGTCAAAGTTCCTGCAGACAATATAAGTAAGTAAAGCAAAGTTTGTGGTGAGCAAATGACACGCGTGCTCGATTGATGCAAGCTCAGTTAATTTGATTGCTTTCAATTCATTGAAAGAGTAACTCTTGTGATAGGAAAGCAAGACCGCCACATAAAAAAAGGACTTTGTTTTCATAAGCATTTAAACCTCGGGGGAACAGAAAAACAACGCATATTAGGTTTAACGAGTCGCTTACTGACAAAGTGATGAATATCAGACAATTAAATAGACTGGATTCTCTGATTGCACACGCTTAGTTTATAAATGTATGCAGCTAGACCTTGTAACTCTATACATTAATGTGAACATTAGCCTGCTGTGGAGTCAGAAAAAATACATTGTTTATCCACAGCCTCCTCTTCTCTCCCTCATTTTTTCAGCTGTTAGACCAAATAAGGAAGTCTTTTACTTAGAGGTTTTTTTCTCTCAGCACTGCTTTATTCATATTAGTAGGAGTTTCACTGGGGCAAACTGATTGCTTTGTGATTAAGGTTTTCATTGTGTAAACACAAAAATTTTGTGTTTGAACTGTTGATGTGCTGACGTTGAAGTGTAGCCTTCAGTATGTTTCAGTGCTTCGTTTTTTATGCCCTTGAATCTTAGTTAAATAGTGTGTAAAGACCACTGTCTCGTTCTCTTTTCCGTCACCTCTCTTCTCTAACCCATCCCCTGCCTCTCTGCACCTGGCAGTCCTCGACGTGTATGTACTCAGCACAGATGGCCAGGTTCAGGATTTTAAATTTCCACAATCCAGCAAGGGTGGTGTTTCTATTCAACTATCGGCCAACACTGTCAAGCTCAACAGTCGAAATGGTAAGCTCTTTTAAAGATGGCAAAAAAAAACATGCTAACTCTAGTAGCTCAAAGATCAGTGCTTGCTCACTGTCTGAGATGTCTATGAAATGTATGTATTGGTTTGAATTTTGCTTCTGTTCTTTTTTGTGTGTGAAAAGTTGAGGAATCTCTCTCTGTTATTCTTAGAACATAGCAAAATTTTAAGAAATCCCAAGCCCTGTGATTTTGACCAAAAAACCCAACATCTAAATGCTTTCTGCATATCTCACTGCTTTTTTTTTTTCATTGCTGCACATCCTTGATTTTTTTTTTCTCATCCCCTCATGTCTGTCTACATCTTTGTTCACTCTGCAGGAGTTGCCAAGCTGGTTTTTGTGCTCTACAAAAACTTGGGCCAGTTTCTCAGTACTGAAAATGCCACCATCAAGATGGCCAACGAAGCTTATGGCCGCAACGTGTCGGTGGCTGTCAACTCTGATGTCATTGCTGCTTCAATCAACAAAGAGTCCAGCCGTGTATTCATTAATGATCCCGTGATTTTTACCCTGGAGCACATTGATGTGAGTGTCCCTGCCACAATGATTGGAGAGGTCATATTAAAAAAACTCCAGGAGGGAGCATCCAGAGTAGACAGAGATCTGCAATTTGAATTGTAAATGTCTGCCTAGGTCAGTCGGCAGTTTATTTAAGTCATTGAACATCAAATTAAAGGAGTCTTTAGAACCTAAGTGAATTCTTAATGAAAACTAATTCTTTAATCAACATTGGGATATAAATGATACCCATTTTCTTTTATAGTGGGGGAAATTAACTCCTAGATTAGCTGTACAATCTAGGATGAAATTACTGGAGCGCCAATTATCTTTAGTCTTTTAAAGTTGTCACTAGAGTTCCCACGGGGCCTCGCGTGGCTTCATTTTTCATCAGAGAAATTGTGTAATTCCAAAGACATGCCGTCAAACAATTATGCTTCTCTGTTATTAAGGCCTCATATACCCCACCCATGCTTCGGTTGATTCGGCAAGCATGCACCAAATGAGATACAACATATGAATTGCTTCATAAGAGCTGTGAAGTGAAAAATCCTCATCCATATCAGTGCAGAAAAATACTTTGTATGAGTAGGGGGTAAATGGCCTCTGTGTTCTACATGTACTTCAATTCAGACAGTCAATTATTTGGACACTTAACCATATCTCTTGTTATCTGCAGATGGAGCACTACTTCAACTCCAATTGCTCCTTCTGGAATTACTCTGAGAGGAGTATGATGGGATACTGGTCCACCCAAGGCTGCAAACTCCTGGACTCCAATAAGACGCATACCACCTGCTCCTGTAGCCACCTCACCAACTTTGCCATCCTCATGGCGCACCATGAAATCTCAGTAAGTCATGTCTTTTCTTTTTTTAAATCCTTCCAACTCACAGTAGTATTTAAGACTTCTGTATCACACACAAACCCAAAGAAATTCTTATTTCTGTGTTTAGATAGCAATTTTACAAAATTACTATAATCACTGTGAGGTTCAAAGAGAACAGCCAAGTACACTATTGTTGCAGTGTGTGTCTTCACCTTATTCCCTACATCACCTAACAGCTTTGCTGTGTAGTCCGGTGTGAAAAAAGGGATGCAGCTTAGTTGTTTCTTCCGTTTTGTAAAAGGTCCTACAGTAAAGTTTACAGTTTATTGAAATCTAAAGACTTAAGGTAACTCACTGCTTCAGTGTCATCCAACACATGGCTCCCAGAAATGAAGTGGTCTACTTGTGACCCTTCATCACAGGTTATAACTGTTGTTTGATTTGAAGGATGTTTACAGGCCTGAAGAGGTATCCAGGATTTTACGAAAACTGTTAGAAGAAGTTAGCATTATATACACTTTGGGATCCATTGGGGAGCATCCGACTAGAGCGTGGATAAAGCTGCCTAAGATTATGTTGCAATATGGATGAAATAAGTCATCAAATGTTTTTTGCCCAAACATTTTAAGCTACCAGGAAAATTTCTTGCCAGTATTATGTTCTCTAAAGCTGAGTGCTTAGTACTTCTGAAAAGGTCGTGTATCATTTGAGACATAAAATAATCCATCTTTCTTCACAGAACCGAAACAGTGTTCTTCTACAACCTTGTAATTCTTGTAATTTGCCATTTATATTTTATTTCTTCCAGGTTAATGACAGAGTGCACGAGCTGCTTCTGACTGTCATCACTCGCGTCGGGATCGTGGTGTCCCTCGTCTGCCTCACGATCAGCATCTTTACCTTTTGCTTCTTCCGGGGCCTGCAGAGCGATCGCAACACCATCCACAAGAACTTGTGCATTAATCTCTTCATTGCCGAGTTAATATTCCTAATTGGTATCGATATGACGGAACCCAGGGTAAGCCAGAACGATTTCACCCTATTGATTTGATTTTGATGTATTCCCTCTCACTTTATCTCCTCGAACCCCCAAGACAAAACACCCTTTCAGAAGTGAAATGGATGAGACTTTAAATGCTGTTTGTTTCAAACCTTCCCTGCTTGTCCCTGACATGGCACGAGTGAGACAGCACCATTAATATAGATTATTAAGTGGCTATGTCTTCCACTTGACAGGCCTTTTTCCTTTTTCACTTAAAGTCACAGTTGCCATGGCTGTGCCTGCATCCATACCATTTTTAACATTTTTCCACCTACATTTTCACTTCATCAAAAATATTTTTCTGTGTTCTGATGAGCCTACTACCTGTAACCAGGCAATACAAATGGCATTTAACTTGCCACTGATGGAAAGCTAAACCTGTGCGGAGTCAGAGCTCATGTGGTGAATGAATATTCATTGACCTTTTTCATCAGTTTCACTAATATGCGTTCCACTAAATGGGTGAGGCAGCAGCAATGAATATCATCTGTCAAGGGTTTTAATAAAAGTTAGAATGTATGATATACACTTTTCAGGAAAGAAAGTGCTATGAAGGTAATGCTTGTCATATTTAAATTTCAAGTTCTTGCCATTTTATCAAAACTGTAATCATGTTGTGTATTTGGTTGCCTTTATCTGTTGTTGTTCTGGCTCAGATTGGATGTGCCATCATTGCTGGGATCCTTCACTTCTTCTTCCTGGCCTCCTTCTCCTGGATGTGTCTTGAGGGCGTCCAGCTGTACCTCATGCTTGTGGAGGTCTTTGAGAGTGAATACTCACGGAAAAAGTACTACTATGTGTCTGGTTACCTCTTCCCTGCCATCGTGGTCGGTGTCTCTGCGGCTATTGATTACAGGAGTTATGGAACCAAGAAAGCGTAAGTGCACCTTTCTGACCAAATCCTTAGAAATGTAGAACAGCTACGCCGGACCCTACGCTGTGTGTGGACTTACCTGCTCTGTCTGTATGCAGCAGCTTTTGAAAAGAAATCTACTCATCATTTCTGCCAGCGTCTTATGTGCATCCCTGGAGACTACACCGAAATATTTGAGCTCCGTTTGCCAGCGATGGGCAGCTGTTCAATTTTTTATGTCATTTGAAAGTGGCTGACAGACTCAACGCTGTGGTTTCAGGGGGGCTGCAACTACATTAATGCCTTTCTGCACAAAGACCCTCCTGTGACCTCTTGTTTGTAAATGCTCTCTTAAAGAGAAGAGCGCTGCGCAGAAAAAGCCTTTTATGTAGATTAATGGCCATATCTCAGCTAAGACCCAGCTATCAAAAGGGGCTTCTTGGGGTCTTCCCTTTGTTTTGTGCAACCATATTAATGTTTAGACTGTAAGACCAGCATTTGAAAGTGCCTCAACTGAAATATTGACTAGAAACAACACAAGTAACCAAAAATGTATTTCTTTCCATTAATAGCTGGACCTTGTGTTTCTTTGTCATAGGTGCTGGCTAAGTGTGGATAATCATTTCATATGGAGCTTTATAGGACCTGTCACCTTTATCATCATGGTGAGTTGTTTTATTTTTCTTTGAATACTGAAATTGACATAGAGACGGAGAGGCAGGAAGCATGAGATGAAAGAGATGCTGGAGGGAGATAAAGGAAGTGAGATGGTTGAAATGAAGCTAAAGCCAGCATGTTTTTTTTTTTTTTTTTTTTTGCACAAACTGTCCTCAGTGATGACAGGTTAATTTTGCAGCAAAGACGGATTTCAAGGTATCCAACAATTCTCTCTGCCTCTCACCATTTGACAAGGATCAGGATTTCATAGCGTACCTTAACCTCACATTTACACAGCTGCCATGAAGCCTCACATTGCTGACATTGCCCAACATCCTTCAAGTTACACTTTTTATGATAAGAGGGGGAAAAAGATTAAAATAGCCTCAAGGTGTGCACATACCCTAATATGGTACAGTTAGATTTTGCAGCTTTTTTTTTCCTCCTCTGCTTCTGCCTCCTTGTGTGTTATTTTGCCTGTAGTAAACAGCAGATGACAGCATCAGAGGGAAGAAGAATAGCAAAGGTACCTCTCTGTTTGGTCAAGGACCATCAGGGGTGACGGACATATAGCATATCATATTCACATGTGTCCCATTGAGGCATGTAGTTATTTACTGGTCATGACATTATTATCTCCTGCTCAGAAGAATGGACCTTAGGGAGTCTTACCTCCCTGTGCAAAAAAGAAAAAGAAAAAAGAAATACCAGGTGGTATTACTCAAATATTTCCTCTCATGTATTGCTTTGCCCTCATGCACACCAAGGGATGAGGAAGCTCTGCAAGGTTGTTTTGCTGTTTTGCAGGAAGGATGGCTGGTATTTGTTCAGTACTATGGTCATTATCTGGCATAATGGTCTGTACTCTATGTACAGATGCGGTGACCTCTGAACATCAAACTGACACTGAAAGTATACTGGGAACAGGAGGCACCCATGTCAAAGTCTCTGCACGCCATCGGCAGCCTACTAGGAGCTTTCGATGTAAAGATTTAGTACAGCTCTTTGTATGTGTTGTTACAGAATAAATAAAAGACCATTCCGCCCACTGGACTGCATTTCAAAGTTTCCTCAAACAGAAACACTGCCACTTGATGTAGCAGTTAAAAATGAGATGGTACACAGAGAGCCTGGCTATTTTATTTGAGTAAATGGTGCTTTTTTTTTTTCCTTCCGATTGTTTTTCTCTCCGCGCCTGCTTTGAAAGTGTGAGCTTATAATTGAGGAAAAGCTAACATTGTATTAAAACAAACATACATTTCCCCCTGTTTCAGCAAATGCTCTGTCAGGCACACAGGAATGTTTCCTTAACCCTCGTTGTTTTCCAATCGCGCGTTGCTTCCATAATGATTTGCATGAAAAATGTGTCTAGTGGAAATGATGATCGGGATCCCGATGGTGATGACCGGAGAGATAGAATCATGACCCTGTGAGGAGCTAATGTATTGTAGCAGAGTCAATGTGTGACAGGAATGAGGTTTTGCAGCACTGGCTCCAGCTTCGCACGCCGTTCCCTCTGATTCCGTGCAACAATTGACTCAAAAAGACAAAGTACTGTGGAAAGGGACATCTCTGGGGAACATGCAAGAGCAAGGTTTTTCTACTCCATCCATGACCCTGGTTTCTCTACAAATTGGCTTTGTCCTTGTCAATGAAGAAAAAAGAAAAGCAAGAGAAAAGGAGACAAAGCAGTGCTGCTTTGGCTCGTGTCTCCATTCTCCCCCTGCTTCACAAACCTTGTTTGTGCCAAGTAACATAGCTTTTGACCTAGAATGGTCATGCTTTTTTCTCATCATTTTGTGTCCCCTTCCTTCCCTTGCTTTTCCTGATTTGTTTTCTTTTTGCTGCTGGCTGGAACAGGTCCTAAATACTGTCTGAAAACAAAAGCTGGTAGAAGGCATTTAGGTGCATGTTCTTAGGCAGAGGTTGCCCTGTCTCTGGGCACAGGGGGTATTAGCTCCATGAAAGGGGAACACGGTAGTAATGAGTGGTGGGGGGAGCCATTAGTATGCTTGAGATAGCTTCAACAACGCAAGGCCTCTTGGATCATGACACGTCGCGAGCAGTTCTTGTCATCTGAACAGCTCCATCTGCACCTTTAATATTTTATCCCCAGCAGTTCATTTGGAGTTCAGTGTGTACACACACACAGTCCACTCCAGAAAAAGCTTTCTCTCCGCTCCCATTGCGACGAGGTGCTTCTGCATGGCTTGCAGTGATGATTCAGAGACAGAGTGAAGGGTAGAGGCAAAGCAGCGCCGCTCTAGTGAGGGGGGATCCCCCCGGGACTGGCTCCAAAAGCATGTCGGTGGGGGCGGGAACATGTGCTGTGCTGCTAGGCTAGGTTACTTTAAAATACTGTGTCCCTCTCCTCTGTCTCATTGGATCCATGTCACCATTCCACGCTGTGTGAAAGGGTTTTTCAAAAGTCCTCGCCCCCTGCCTCCCACCTCCACTGTCTGACTCATGCTCAGGCTGATAGAAACAATGGCTGATAGCTCTGACATGAAACATAGTTTTAGTAACTGTGATATAAAGGTTCACAATTATGGATTTTGTTTTTCCAATAGTGCCTCTCTTTTACTGCATGGGTTATTGTGAGCAGCTCCATGAGTTGATTGCGTGTGGAGGGGCGGTGTATTGATCAGTGGTGGTCTTTTGATAGCAGTATCCAACAGAACAGAATTTGAGCTTGAGACTTGAATGGCCATGATCTGACTCCAGCTCACAAAGGTCATTTATTTAATTCATGCCCTTAAACTGGCAAATCATTGTTTTTCTTTTTGCCAACGTTCTTGCATTCAAATGATAACATGGCAACAATGAAATGCACTGTTTGTAAGGCTCACCTGGGGCAAAAGAAATAGCGCTTGTTATTGTAGATGCTGTTATTTGTGGTTCTGTTTTTGTTACTAACATGCCACAGATCCAGTAGCTTACATATATTTGTCTAATCCTTTCATATGCACTATTGGAGGCGCACATTTCAATTTTTCTTTTCTCAGATATTCCTTGACATTATTTATACATGCCTGACTTGCAGTACAAACACAGTCTGGTTCCTCCGCTGTGAGTGCATGTACATACTGTGTCAGGGACTAGTTTGGACCAGAATAAATGTTTTTGAAGTAAATTATTTGGAGTGGCTCCTTGCTGGACCATCCAGCCTTTGTGTCTCTAAATCACTGTATTGATTTTTAAGGTACCAAATAAATGCGCCCAGAAACACTGCGCAGTAGTATCCTTGTCTCAACCTGATATGTGCCACTGGCTCCGTGAAGATTTAATGCATTAAAACAAGCAACCAAAGGCCATCTCCCTCTCCCTGTCCCTCTCCCTCTCTCTCTTTTTATCTGACCGCACACAAGAATCGAACAAAACATACCATATTCCCTCAAGCCTTTTGTAGCTAGTTATACCTTATAATATTTCACTATGTGCATAAAATGATATGCTGTTGTTTTGTACAACAAGAGGGTCTCATTTCTCCTGCATCTTTCCCTTCCTTTCTGACTTTGCCAGACTGCTCCTGTGTGACTGTTTCTTTCTTTCCTTTTTTTTTCTTTTTATTGTGATGGATTTTAATGCATTTCCATGCTCTTATTGATATAGAATGACACTAAATTTGGCGCCAGTCGGCCCGTCTGAGCCCGGCTGGAACAATAGATGCTTATTGGATTAGTCTGTGGACATGCAGAGATTTGAAGGCTCTCCTCTTTTAATACTTACAGACAAATTAACAGTTTTTTTTCTTTGTATCATACATCTTCATGTATTAACACTGCCATCACTCTGTTTTGCCAGCTCAATCTCATCTTCCTGATCATCACAATGTACAAAATGGTGAAACACTCGACCACCCTGAAGCCAGACTCTAGCCGACTGGAGAATATAAAGTAAGTAAAGCACCACATGCTGAACACCTGCATTCTCCTGCTTATCAGCATTATAACATTGGTGCTATTCTGTCACTACCTCCAGGAAAACTAAGGCTCTTTTACTCCTGAGGTAATTTTTTTTTTCCTAACGAAATAATATCTCATGAGAAAATTCATTATGTCCCCCACCTCCAAGCCAAGTTTCAGTAGTGGACTAGCGAGTGACAGTAGAATATGTGATCATATAGAATCATTTACCAGAGAAAGTTATTTTGACTAGAAATTACAAAAGCAACACAATTTTTGAACTAGATTATTGGCATGACATAGCTGTCATGATGACTATACTGACTTTTTGCCCTTTATTGTTTCGCTCCAAGCCACTAACCATAGAATTGCACTGGCATGGCACACGTCACTAAAGGGCTGCTGTTAGCTCTGGTAGGGTGGGGTGCAGTGGAACAGCTACCATATGTGTTTTGCTTGAACTTGTCAAACCTTTTTTTTTTTTTTATAGATCCCAGCTTCTAATCCCAAGAAAGAAAAAAAAATTCCTTCCCAACACAACCGCCACCGTTCCCCTTCTAGTTTAGGCTCCCTGAGTGGCCTCAACGTTTATGATGTTTTGCTTTGGCAAGTTTTTCTAAAGCACTAATTGTTTTTTTTTTTCTTTGCATTGCTGTGAAAACAGTATTTATTGTTGTTTACCGCAGGGCAAATTTCAGGGCCTCTGTGGGTTATATGGTTTTGTTGCTCGCAGTAGCACCATTATATTTCGACTTCCACCACTCACAGCATTGTTGTTGCTATTTTTACTAGTATTTGTTATTTTTCCTTTTCCTTAATGAATACGTGCAGCACTGTAGTAGAAGTGCAATCATGAAGAACAGTCAGAAAAGGGTTTATTCTAGAGATGCACCAATTTCAATTTTCTTAGCCAATTCCAATTTCCAGTAGTTTTTTTTTGTTTGTTTGTTTTTTTGAGTCTGGCCTGATTTCCAATTCCAGGTTTCTTTCTTTCTAAGAACTACACAAGTTAACAACACATGGCCAGTACAGACATGAGCATGAGCCTCACTTGAGGTCCACACAAAATGCTATGCGCTGCTCACACTATGCTTTTGGTCTGTGCCACTGTGTGCACTACGAGGACTGTCGTGCCTCTAAATCTGATCATCACAAAACAGGAACTCTCAGAGCGATCAGCCATCAAGGGTGATCACGCTGAAAACCGGCCACTTCCTATCTCCGCTGATCGATCGATGCATCTCTAGTGTATTCTTATTCTTCTTATTTTATTTGAGATATTTATTCCCTTATCAAGAAAACCACAACAGGATACATTTACCGAACATGCCGGCACTCACATTAGTAGGTATTTGTATCAGAATGTTACTTCAATTAAGCTTATTTGTTCTGGAGAAATACATTGTAAATGTCTAATAACTCTTTCCTTGTGGTCCTGTTTGTGTTTTTTTTGGTCTGAGAGTCAGTTTAGCACCAGTGTTGTCGCATGTTGCATGTGAAGGCAAAGTTAACGCACGCCCTCTCCTTTCTCTTCTCCCATCATTTTTCTCCTCTCTCTGTTCTGCGATCCACACCAGTAATTATCGCGTTTGTGATGGCTACTATAATACAGATTTGCCTGGGTAAGCTTTTACTATACACCTCAGCTAATTTTACCCACACAACACCCACGCATATAGTAGCATCAGTACAAATTCAGCACAGACAATGTGCTCGAACCAAATGCTTCACACAGAATTTTGTAATTGAATCAGCAACAGCAAAGACATACAACTCTTAAATCCTTAATTTCATTGCCTCCCATGACTTCCCTTGGATCAAAGTTGAAGATATCTCACTCAAATGCCAACTAACCCATGCTGTTATGCACTCTGATCTAATTGTGTTTCTCTCTTCCTGCTTATCATGCTTTCTAGCTATGAAGATAATAAACGGTTTATCAAGTAAGAACACGTTGCCCAGAAGTCTCCTCTTCAGCTTGTAGTTTATTCTCTTTCCTTTTCTTTCTTTCTGGGGTGCATCTTCTCCCAAGCTGCAGCTTCTAAGCTACTCATCCACTGTCCTTGTGACTGTTCACATTCACCACGTCCATCATCTTGAAATTCGGTGTTGTTGTTGTGTGTTTGAGTGTCAAACTGTGGCTGCTGTTGGTGTCTGAAGGCTCCACAGGACCTTCACACACACAGCAGGGATTTTTTTTCCTTGAACTCTTTCCGCATCTGCCTAGTTCCCCAGTTCTGATAACACACTCAGTAGATAAATGTTTAATATTTGAGAGTATTTATTGCTTTTTTAGTGTAAATTTCAACATGCTGTGCTCTCTAATTCTGCTATTCGGTGTGTTCTAACGCATCAAATGTTATTTACAGAAAAGCAGATCAAGGTGTTGCTTCCTTTCTGTGTGTTTGAAGGGAGCAACTGCGTTCGAGTTTGGGCTGAGACTGTATGAATGGGGTGGGGTTTGGGAGAGTGGGGAAGGGGTGGTGAGAATGGCATAGGTGTCATTTTATTGTTTGCCTCTCACCTGTTTTACAGCTTTTTTTGTCATTATTCTGTCACTGAATGCCTCTCATGCTGGATTTGTCCCCTTCTTGTGTTTGGTTTTTGCTGTCCTTTCAGATCCTGGGTCATGGGCGCCTTCGCTCTGCTGTGTCTGCTGGGTCTGACGTGGTCCTTTGGTCTCTTCTTCATCAATGAGGCCTCTATTGTCATGGCGTACCTCTTCACTATATTCAACGCTTTCCAAGGATTGTTTATCTTCATCTTCCATTGCCTTCTCCAGAAAAAAGTACGTTTCCTGCCATCTGCAATGCTCAAAGACAGTGATTTTTCTTTCAGGGTGAAAGGCTTCTAAACTTGCGCAGCCAAGGCCAAACCTTCACTCTAGCAAGCAGAATTCACAGAGCTCCACATGCTGATGTAAAGAACAAGCACTGCTCGCTTTATGATTTTGGCTAAGTCCTATGTAAAGTCGACACTGTTCGTAAACACTCGGCTGTTTGCTCACGCAGGTCCGTAAAGAGTACAGTAAGTGTTTCCGCCACACATACTGCTGCGGAGGGCTGCCAACTGAGAGTTCACACGGTTCTGTAAAGACTTCCACCACACGGACCAGCGCACGCTACTCCTCTGGTACACAGGTAGACCAGCATCTTCATACAGTCAGAGAGTCAACATTTCCTGCAGACACACACTCATACAGCTCATTTTCTTTATTACAAACCCCAAAGTTTAAACAATGAGAATGTACTTTTGCTATAACTGTGTACTGTGTAGTGAACAAAAAATGGGCATCGTGTATTTTACCTTCAGAGACACAAACATTATGCCACATTTTACAAGCAGCATCTACTGTACTGCATGAATACTTTCCTTCTGTTCTGCCCACTTTAGCTTTTGCTTTTATCTTTTTTCTCACTAACATCATGCGCATGGGAAATAGTTCAGCACTGTTTTTGCAAGCACATTTTACTATGGGGAAAGCCAAAACTACAATTGTAAAACAAAATACTATAGTCCCTTTTATTAAAGGTTAGGAGACCTCATACAATACCTCCAGATGTACTGTGCTTATAGAGAAACATCCCTATCACACTCAAACCTGCAGCCTAATTCAAGATACTCGTGACTGGATCTGAAGTTGTTCCAGAGCTGACCTAAATAAAATATTTTGAGAGATGTGTACTGAGAAAGTGAGCAATAGTACTAACCATGCAGACCTGTGAGAAGTAATACATAGAAAATAAATGAAAGTTGATCTGAAAGGTGAGCAGGCTTGTTTAAAGTCCTAATGAGTGTCCCTTGTTGACCTGACAGAGTCGTATCAGGAGAATGTGGAATGACACCGTAAGAAAGCAATCTGAGTCCTCCTTTATCTCAGGTGACATCAACAGCACCTCCACCCTTAACCAAGGTCAGTTCACACCTAATTTCTCTCCATATACACACCTATGCACACATTTCATCATCCAACTAAAAATACCTCCTCCAAGATTCACTGGGCTCACGCCACCTCACAGGATCCTCCTCTGGTAATCGTAATAAATGCCTTCAGCTTGATAAGAAGGAGCAGTGCAGCTTTAAAAAAAGATCTAGGCCTGTAGTCTGGTCTCCCTGTTCTGCCAGCAAAGGATAACAAAAATCCATCTTCAAATACTCTGTGCGCTGTCATTCTGGCCTCTAATGTCAGTCTCAAATTGGGGCAAGGCTTGGAAAGCGTCTTTTATTTAAGTGATGGCTGTCCAGAGTTCATACCCAACCGCAGGGGAAACATAGACACAACTAGAAACAGGGAAATAAAGTTTTATTTTAGGGAAATCTTAACACACACAGAGCAGTCATTTGTAGCCTGGCATGTAAGGTGACCTCTATTACTTTACAAGGGGATTTATGAGGGAGGAAGAAAAAAAAACTGTCATTTATTATTTAGCTTGAGCACAAATATGATGATGATAAGATGATGTTCAACTCTGGCTGACCCGGAGTGCTTAGTGTGCTTAGGCTCTCTGCTGCCTCTGAAATGGCTTTCCAAGCACATGCATGGGAGAAGAGGGTTTACACCATGGTAGTTTAACTTCACTCCCTCCTCTCCCCTTTGTCTGAATCATGTCACTGCCTCGCTTTGCCTCCTGTTCCTCTTTTGCTGTCACTATCCCACAAGGTAAAACACCACACCTAGGGCCCTGAAGAACATTTTGACTTGCTGATACATCAATAACTATATATAAGCAGGACTTTTTTTTTTCAACAATGCCTATTTTTTTTTTTTTTAATGTTAATGTAAAGGTTGGATATTGATCATTCTGGGGTGTAGTAGCCTTGTTACCCTGGAGAGTCGGTGCACTAAAGCAGGGCTCTATCTCCTGCAAGCGCTTCCCTATCATTAAAATCATCCCTGGAGACTTCCCAACATGACAGATGGCATTTAACACATGTGGTAAATGGCAGTGGAAATACCTCAGATCCTTAAAACACTCTGCAAACTGGGGAAAAAACTGAAAGAAAGTAAAAGTCTGGAAGAAAATGGCCAAAATTGAGTCTAAATAAAGATTTTGATATCAAACTTGGAAGGATTCTGCTCTTAGTCATGGAGGAGATTTTGTATTTGGACCTGGTTCAAACAGCAAAACCTTTGCACAATCACAGATTTGCAGGGTGCTATTTTTGAAAATGATATATCCTCAAAATAATAAGTAAATATCTCATGAGTGGATGATATAATAAGCACAGTGGTTTGACAATTTGTTTATAAATGTAATGAGTGTTGAATGACCTACAGCACAAATAACAAAGCAGCTTGAAAGTTGAAAAATCCGCCGCCTAAAGTTGTTAAATGTAAGAATGGAAGCCTGGCAAATATTTAAATATTTTCAGATGTTTTCTTGCTTCTTCCTAGTTGCTTCTCAAACATTATTCTGTCTTTGCAACTTAAAATAAACACCCTAGTTACCCTGGATGACACCACATGCCTCAGGAGATAGACTTGCTGAAAATGCCCTTCATTTCTTTTCCTCGTGAACCTTTCAGTCACTGTCGGCTTTGCTGCGGCAAACTTATCTGCTCCTCTTCTGTCTTGCCACTCCAGGAATGACCGGGAATTATCTACTAACAAATCCTCTTCTTCGACCACAAGGCAGTAACAACCCTTATAACACCTTACTGGCTGAGACAGTCGTATGTAACACCCCCACGGCTCCAGTGTTTAACTCGCCAGGTGCGCTTACTTATTACTTTCACCTGCATTCAGCCTTCTCTCTTTGCCTCTTTCCTTTCTCTCCCTCTTTATCTCTTTGGTTGAGTATACTGTAGGCCAAATGAAAAGCAGGATGTTCTGCAGTATCACCTTTCCTTCTAAATCATTATCTCTCAGATGCTTGATACTTTATGTCTGTCTGTGTGTGTGTGTGTGTGTGTGCGTGCCTGCGTGTGACTGCACTCCTTTATTATGTAAAATAGAGATTTTTTTTTTTTTGTGGTTTGTCTCATGTTTGTCTTGTCCAAGCTCTGAATGGGACATAATGAATAACTTGGGGAAAGAGATACTGCATGTTCTGCCTCATGATAATGTAAACAGCGGTACAGACCTGAAGCTGTAGTATAAACTGCTCATTTATTAAGATTTATGCTCCTGACTTTTTCAGGTGATCTGTTACTGTGTTTTAGAGGGAGCTTTCCCCTTAAAACATGTTCAGCTCCAAGCAAAGTGAACTTAATGCAACTTGTTTAGATGTATTTGACAAGCTTTTTAAAGAAAACACTATATCACAGTTGCACATGGCACTTACACCATATGTCACACTGTAAATACTGTGCTGTAATTATGCGTGTTCCTCTATTTTGATACTGAAATGGCATCTTTTTGTCATATTTTGTGCTTCTTCCCTGTGCTTCCCTCTAGTGACCTACAGAGAGACAAGTATGGGAGTAAAACTTAACTTTGCCTATCAAATGTAAATTTTTTTCAGCATGCTTATTAAAAACAACCAAAACCCTGGCACAATCACTGGTTTACTTTAGGCCATTAACACACACTCAGTGAGCAAGTGGTTCACAAACTTATCCACTCAAATTCTACTCTAATCGGAAAAGAAAGAAAATATTTCTTTAGTCATTTGAATTCATCTTTTGAGATTGGACAGCTTTATCGCAACTCTGCTTCTCTCTCTTCTGCGTAATTTGTGATTTTAACCAACCAAATTGTGTTGCTTTTTTTTCTGGCAAAATTTTCATGAGGAAGGTTTCTTTTGCTTTATTTCTTTTTCCTTGTTTTCTTCTCTTTTCCCAAAACCTATGTCCTCCTGTGGCATTCAGCAGTCTCAGTGTCCAGTAGTATTCCTCTCACACTTTTCCGGACAATACCCGTCTGGGCACCAATAGTGCGCATAAACACATGGATGTCATGGCAACAGCTGTTAAAATTTTCTTTATTCTATTTATTTTTACTTTCCTGTGATTTTCCCCCAGTTTTTTTTATCATCCCTTGTATAGTTCCAATCACTCCCTGTTTTTGGAACAAATATGTGAAATATCCCTTTAGTCTGCATCCTAATTTGAACGTTAGCCAAAACAGAAAACATTTTTCCTTTATCTTTTCTCTCAATCAAAACATAACTAATATTTGTTCTTTTTGCTGCTGCTTTCCATGACCTCCACACTTTGAGAAATTCCTGACTTGACCACGTCTGACCTCTGTAGCGGCTGTGTTATTCTTGAGCTGTTCTGCTAGTGACTGGGGTCTCACTGGGAACTGTCACTGTGACGGATGCCAAGTGCTGGGCTGCGGGCAAGCTCTGACCTTTGCCAGCTTTGGGTACACCAGCTGCCAACTAATGGACAGAAAGTGTACCAGCACCAACAAATCAATGGGAAAAAAAAGAAACTTACAAAAAAATAGCTTTTGGCATTTAATTGGTAAAACTGAAGCGGTTTAATGCTTGTTTCTTTCATTTGCTGAACCCTTGCTCTCGCTAAGTTGCAGTTAAGACCTTTGCTTTACGTTTTATAGTTCTGTTGAGTGATTCTTCGTCATGTTACAATAAATCATTTTACTTTCTTTTGTACATCAGCTGCTCTTAGACCAGATAGCCTGAGCAGACAGACATGATGTGAGTTGTCTAAAGTGAGTCTTTTCACCTGCTGTGTGTGGTGATGGTGGAGTGCTGCTTGTGGGCGCCCCTTGTAGTGAGAACAAAGATGGCTGTTTCATGTTGATACACGACTCCTTTCCCTTTTCTGTCTGTGTCATTTATCCCATCTCTCTCCTTTTCTTTCCTTTGGCACATCCAACTTATTAGTTGCTAGAAAACCTGTAAGTGTTGTAGCCTGCCCATTTGTAGCTTCATACTTGTGGACATCTACTTTTGCCCGGTGTGTTGTGATAGTGATTACTGTTTGTTTCTTAATGTTGTTTGGGATCTTTTTTATTGCTTTGTCACATTTGTGGCAGACTAAAACGCACAATGCTCTGCTTATTTTGAAGCATTTTTTTAAAAGGGAAACCTAAAATGTATATGTGAGAAAGTAAAATGATTTCGCATTGCAAATAATGCATGCCTACACATTGTATGTTAAGGATTGTGCCTAACTAACAGATTTATGGCATGGCTTAATTTGGCTTGAATTTTCTATGTCAAACTGCATCCTAAACAGCATTAAACTTTGGTATGTTTCTTTCATGCTTACTGATGTTGACTAATGTGATATCCCCTCACATTCTCCTCTTTCCAGGGCACTCACTGAACAGTGCAGTGAGGGATACAAGTGCAATGGATACTCTACCGCTAAATGGTAACTTTAATAATAGCTACTCGCTTCGCAATGGGGACTTTGGCGACAGTGTTCAGGTAGTAGACTGCGGCCTCAGTCTGGACGATGCTGCCTTCGAGAAAATGATCATCTCCGAGCTAGTACAGAACAACCTGCGTGCCTGTAACAAAAGCCACCAACAGCAGCAGCACCCCAGTTTACATCATCCACCCCATCACCAGCCGCCCCCGCAGTACCACCATCACCACCACACGGAGCGGGCTCCGCCGAAGGTGACGGTGGTAGGCGGCAGCAGCGGTGACGACGACGTTATCATAACTGACGCTTCATCTTTGGTGCACGTGGGTGACACCGTGGGTCTTGAGCTGCACCATCAGCAGGAGCTGGAGGCGCCACTCATTCCCCAGCGGACTCACTCCCTTCTGTATGCACCCCAGAAGAAGGTGAGGACCGACAGGGGAGATGATACCTTTGTCAGCCAGCTGACACCCACCAACCCTGATGATAGTCTGCAGTCCTCTAACAGAGACTCTGTGTACACTAGTATGCCTAATATTAGTGACTCTCCGTGCCTCGAGAGCAGTCCAGATGTAGTGGAGGACCGGTCCCCCTCCAAGACAAGCGAGAACGAGGATGTTTACTACAAGAGCATGCCTAACTTAGGGGATGGCCAGCAGCTCCAAGCCTATTACCAGATAGGCAAAGGGAGCAGCGATGGTTACATTATTCCTAGTACTAAAGAGGTTTGCATCCCTGAAGGCGATGTACGGGAAGGACAGATGCAGTTAGTGACAAGCCTTTAAATGTATTTATATCGCCCCAAAACTCTTCCTACCCTTTTGCATTGCTGACCTTTTGGAGAACACACTCATGAAGGGAAGGGAAGTTTTTTTTTTGTTGTTGTTTTTATCTTTGAAGAGAGCATAGAAGCCCCGTCATACACGTGAGGTATTTACAATCCTCCTCTCCAATCTGCATTGCCGTTTCCTTTCCCCCCCCAAACATGCCAATCTTTACTACCTTCCCTGCAGACCAACAGACTTGGTGCACAACAATGGTAGTGCAAAGGTTTAATGAGACTGTACATAAAATACAGAGTCAAATTTTGATTTTAAGAGCCAAGCCAACTATGTATTTAAATGTGCTGCTGCTGTTGAATAATTGAGAAAAATTTAAGATATGAAAACAAAAAGACAAAAAAAAAGTGAAACATTACTGGCTACGTCAATCAGCAATGTCCCGGTCAAAAGGTTGTACATACACTCTCCATCATCCTCGTTGAAGCCTGAATTTTTTTTTTTTTTTTTTTAATTATAAACAGAACAACACCCCTGGACCAGGACATGGACTCAGTTTGTAAATTTTTTTTTTTTTTTTTTTTTTTTTAATTATAAACAGAAAAACACCCCTGGACCAGGACATGGACTCAGTTTGTAAAATGTTCCTGATCAGACTGCTAGAGAAGGAATATAAGGTCCTGGTTGCCCTAAGTCATGCTCCATCCCATGAAGTTTGGATTGTATAACCACTAGCAATCAAGCCACTGGCCTTATATTTTCTCAACTGTACATTGAACTGTTGTCAAGGAAAATGGCTAAAATATATATTTTGTTGTATTGCTAGTGTAAAATAAAAAATCATGGGAAAACGTAAATATGAAGAAACCTTTTAACTGCAAAATTTAACGTTTGAGAGACTATTGTGTTGAAGTTGCACATATGTTATACAGTGTGTTTATGGTTCCAACACTTCATTCATGGTAGTATGTTTGAACGTAAAGGCTTACGACAACAAAGGAGGATTACAAAGACGCATTCTCACTTTCTCCACTTGTGAACAGTGTTTTTTGCTTAATGACTTTCATTGATATCGCCCATTAAAAGATGTTTATTTTGCCAAAGTGGCATTATTTTAGTAGAATGGTTAATGCAAAAACCCAAATTAAAGTGATTTATGCATTGCACATTTTTTGTGTATTTCTGAATAAACTAGATCTTTTTTAACACAGTGAGTGATGGGTAAGCGCAATTGAATTAAAATCAACTTTTGACAATAAAGTTTCTATTATAAATGTAGTTCTTCCGCCTGGGTTTGAACGTTTTATTTATTAAAATCTTTCCAAAAAAAGAAATGGGAAATGTGTGAATATTTTCCAACACTGGTATACTTGCTGTACTGTAGCTCATGTCGTTTTTATGTAAACATGTTACCAAGGGGCTCAACACTCAAGACTGATGTAAAATTCAACACTTGTTTAACAAATAAAATAAATGTGAGGTTTTTTGTCAAATGCCAGTTGCTTTTAATGGTTTGTGTTTTTGGTACTATTTCAAAAAACAGGCTGAATTATTTTGCTATGGACAAAATACACTTTTGACTCAGGTTATACTGTAAGTCCCAAGAACCTTGAATGGCAAATTGGTCATTTTTTTATTTTTATTTTTTCCCCAGGGAAGTTATTTGCTTTTTGTTCTGCTTTTTCTTCAATCACTGCAGATAGAGAGCTCATTTCAACATATGTGTTAGAGAAACCAAATCAAAGATGCGAAACTCAGGTAGGAAAATTGCATTGTAAATGTTCCTCTGTGTGGTTGTTAACACTAATAAAGGTTTAAAAAAATGACACTGGTTCACAGCATTGTCCACTTAGTATATTATTGAATGAGCACTATAGTTCTGGTACCATTAAGAAGCCCTGCAATACAGAAATATTGTAAGTTTTAATAGCGTTCGAGAGTGAAAATGTGTCCATGGACCTAATAAGGGGTCAATGTTACACTCAGCTGCAGTAGTATGCAAGTATATTATACATATGTGTCCGAGTATGACACATATTTGCTCTAATTAATGTCTGCTGCTGCAGCCCACAGTCAGTTCCTATACAGTTTATGCCTCAGGTAATGCTAATTTATGAAGCATTTTAATATATCACCAGTTGAGGCAGAGTGACAGCTCCCAGCAGGATAGCTGGAAATTGCACTGTTTACCATTTGGCATTGAAGGAAATGACTTAGAACTTAGCAAAAACTCACTTTATGTCAAAGCCGGCGCACACAATGCTTTGTCGGCTGCATGTAGTTTTGAGTTTTTCAACAATTATGTGACATTTTGTGCAATTATCTGTGGCTACAAATTGTTATAGAAGAATTATGTTCTTTTTTTGTGATCTCTTGTACAGACCCCTTGAATGTCAGTTAGGAATCAAGTGTTGAGGTTATTGTTGACTGCTGAAATGGCAGACATAATGATGTGCATAATAATGTGGGGGGGGGGAGAATTATATTGATTCCCATCCTGCATTATAAAACATGCAACTGCAGTTTATCTGTGTATGAAAGCACTAACAGTTTTTTTCATGTGTTGTAAATGTGAGAAACAGTAGTTATTTAGAAGCAGTTTGTGTTAAATAACCTGAGAAGGCTTGTTCCAGACAGAAGAGAGACCGGATTTTTATGTACAAAATGCTGTGTTACACTTCAGATTTTCCACTGCAGCAAACACTGAAATCAATACCTCACTGTGAAAAGTTATTTTAAGTTGCATTATTGTTCATTGTTTTTGTAAGCATAAATCACTACTGGGGGCTCGATTGCTTTCTGTTTAATTGAATCAGAGAAGATGTCTATTTAATGCAGGATTCTTAAATGCAGAAACTTACATTTCTATAGAGTCAGGAGTCACTCTCCGCAGACAAACAAATAATTGCCAACCCTTTCCTCACCTCTCTCTCTAAATGCTGTTTGTTTGTCCTATCATAGTGACCTTAGAGACGGATAGACTTGGCTGGTAAGCAGGTTTGTTTTTATTATTAAGGGCAAGGAAATACGATCTTGGATTGGCCATTTGTCTGTGATGGATGTGGACTCGGCACCCTCTGGCTTTGCGTGTGGCCTTCTCACCATGCCAGAGCCTCTCTAATTCCCCTTCTTTCGCTCAGGGAGAGACTCGCCCTTTGTCAAACATTGATTCAGAAGTAGGCCAGGAGCCAGGGGGCTGAGAGCTCAACTGCTCCCACAGAGGAGCATGTCGGTCCCTGGAAACAGAGGTAGAAAATGCTGTCAGCAGAATCAGGGTGAAACTGCTAAAGACGGATGTGTTATTGATGAAACAAAGGCAGGAGACTAATGTTTGGCCAAATATGGATATTTGTGATTGTCAAGTCACAGGAACAAATGTTTAAGATGCAAGGAATTTCTGTAAGATATGATGCAACTCCATGAAAGCAATTTCCCTATTGATTAAATGTTTTATGTTTTTTCCAAATCCCAGGATGTAGTGATACCTCCCCTGTGTTTCAGTGTCCGCTCTGGGAGACAGAAAACAATGAGACTTTTCCTAAAACATTTTGTATGTTGGCTACAGAAAGATTTAATAAACCTTTAATTAAATAGTCATCTGTTTAACATCAACTGACAAGTGGTATCAAGTTAAATTACCTAATAATTATGCACCTCTGCTCATTAAAGATCACCACCACTTCTGACTTTTTAATTCTACATCCTCACCCTGACAAACAAAAATGAATGTTTATTTATATTTTGTAAACTTCCAACCCAAATAATTCAATATTGTTTATACTGGCTGTCCTTGCAGGTCTACATTCATGTGCTTTTTTTCCTCTAAGTTCTGTTTAAGAAGTTCCATTTCAAACCCTTGTGGATTTCACAAGGTTATCAATAGTGGCTGCAATAGCTACTGCAGCAGTTAAGTCCTGTGAATGGAAAGCACGGTGCCAATTATAGACGCCATCAATGTGGATGAAAGCAACTGTGTACAAGCAAAAGGAAAACCTCTCAAGCCACAAAAGAGTAACTGGCAGTGCAAAAGTAACTTCCCAGACTCATGAAGTCAAAGGAGACCCTTTAACTGCTCACTCTTTACTTCCCTCAGCCTCTTTTGTCCTGTCCCCAACTTCAAATGTGCAGAATTGCGGCCCATGGGCGACTTAGATCCATCCCATCGAGGTGAAAAATCCAATTAACCTGCCGCTCCAGCTGCCTTCGTTATAATCCCCTCCCATAATTATGAAATTACCAGATGCAGGATTTCAAATGAAAAAAGGATGAGAGCAACTGGCTCAGAAAAAAAGATGAAATAAGCCATTCTGTGCCAGTATAAAGTTCCAATTTACCTCAAGGGGGGACAGCTAATTCATATAACTGGGTTTGAAGGTGAGACCTGCAAAAGCCCCTGTAATCAGAATAGGAAATATCCTAACAAAAACATGAAGATGGGTGGATCTTCAAATAGCCATTGAGATTAATGGTTGATAATGCATTTAGACTTTTGAAGCGACAGTATAAATACACCATCTTATCTGACAAAGTGAAACAATTAAAAATGTATAGTACTGTGAGCATGTTGGGGTCTCTGGTGATAAAGATGCTTCTGGAGGACTGGGAGTATTAAAACCATTTATTTGAGAGGTCAAGATAAAATGTAAAAAACTATGTTTAAGCATTTGCACGTCTTCAGTGTGCTGAGACTGGAATACAGTCAGGCAGTGAGTAGGTGTGAGGTACAGTATGGGGACATATGCAAGGTTTGATGCATCCAAGTAATTATGAACGGTTATCCAACCTTTTGGCTTAAGTTCTGTGAAAACCTCTGTTCTTCTGTTTAAAAAAAATGCCTCCAATGGGGATGTAACCCATTCATCGCCTGTCTTCTATATTTTTTAAAAAGCTACTGTTTCTTGCCTTCCCCTAATGAAGGCCCTTTCATCCCAATACTCACTGAGATTCGAGCTGTAGGCTCCCTAAATTTTAAAACCTCAAGCTACTGTAGCACACAAAATGAAAGTCATTGATTCTTCTTCTATTAATTCTACTGCTATTTAATGATTTTAGTTTCCTGAAAAAACACAAAAATAAACAATTTAAATTATCCTCTAATAGGATCACATTTTCATCTTGTTAAATGAGCAACCTGATGATGCCCTGACATGAGTGAAAGACAACACGAGTTAATTGTTTATTAAATAAATACCATTTTCTAATCACATTGTTTCCCGTTAACCAGGGACAATGCTTTTCTAATTCTTACCTTTTTGCTTTGGTAAAGTCCTTCACTGCAGAGAGACTCCATCTCATCAGTGAACCTACCGTTTTTCTGATAAACTCAATGGCACCCGAGGGACGCCTCAAGCAATAACTACGGGATTTTCTGCCATGTACGAGCTTCTGCTGGCCAATATAGATAACGCCCACTCACACTACACCTAATGTATGCTGAGACTCCAGCAAACTGATCTATTATGCTGCTGTATTCACACAGCATCAACATGTCTATTCATCAATCGGCAAGAAGACGAGGAGCCTGTTATGATTTAATGG